CTGTTGCAAAGTATCTATTTAGTGACTGAGCCCTCATCGTTCGTTGCGCTGCAACGGGCAGCGCACGCGCGTTAGCGAACTTGTTCGCAACTTGTCTGTAAAATGAGGCAATCCAGCGTTCCAACTTCTATATAAAACCTTAATTACCAGTGTTTCGGTATGTTGTAATTGTTATGAACCATATTGTTTGTTTTAGTAATATATCTTGACTTGCATAACCTTACTGTTGTGAACATATTTTGTCTAATTAAGTGTTAATAGGCTTTAAAGTTTAGACCTTTACCTAGGCCAACTGACGTTGTTCAGGCTGCCGTTCACGATTCATATGCTAGGCCTATTTATTATGCCCTTTATTACTATGTTATATTGTTTATTACTATGTTATTGTTTCTGGTTTATTACAGTGATAAATGAACACACACACATTACCATACACTACCACCACTTAGCTACTACAGTATAGTGTAACCGACGCCACGCACCGCATTACGCAGTACAGTACGCTACTATTCTACGTGAACTCAATATCACTCATCTACTGAATTGATATACTGGCTTGAGCAAATACGCTCACATGATAAAGTGTTAATCTCATCTGCAATAATAAACTACCATTGTGTCAACCTGGAACAGTTGTGTACAGTCTGTCATTCTACCGTTATCCGAACCACTATAACAGCACATTAGGTGGAGACATAATATCCCCCCTTTCTTAAGTAAATTAATGTTTCATATCTACACATTAAACATTAGAATACAGTATTGTCAGCAATAATGAAACCTACAGTCCCACATTAACACCATTAAAATAATGAAGCTAGCAGGCCACTGTTATTGCAGCATTATGTTGCGTGATACTTGCTATTACATGTCACTACTCAAGTTTGTGTTGTCATGCTGACATGAATCTCATGGTGTACTCCGGGTTTAGCAATTAAAGTTCACAATTTATGAATCTAATTGTCTTTCGAACATGTCAATTTCAAAATTATTACTGCATATACAGTATTCTACTCGAACCTAGAAATTTAGAAGAACAATGTAATTCTCATTTAGATAGATAGGCCTACTTTTCATATTTTCGAAGTTTTGTGACAATATTTTTTTATATAATTTCAGAATACCCAGATATCCAGTCAGCAGCTGTAAAAACCAAGATGACTAAAATATGTGAAGATACAAGGCGCTCCATGTCAAAGGGAATGGATACAGCAACTAATGTTTAACAACAGGCGCTTAATGTGCAGTAATTTTTTAATTTTAAATTGTAATTGTAATTATCTTTGCTAAAGGTAACTTAGCAAAGTGTTGTAATTAAATTTTTAAAAAAAAGTTTATTTCATATCCTACAGATGAGCTGCAGCATGCTTTACCATCTAAGTAACTGTTCGTCTATATGCAATAAAAAGAATTTAAACAATTGTAAACTCATTGCTACATTAACTTAACAACTATTAAAATCCTTGACTAAATTTAAGCAAAACAATACCTTTAGTATGAAGCAGTTACTGTATACATTTGACTAATGTATGTTTTTAACTTAAACATGTTATAACACATACATAATTCGTCTGACTATTATGCAATAATCTTATGAAAGTGCTTATATATGTATTTAAAAGTTAGTTTAATAAATGTTTATTTTATCAATTTTAAAACTGTTATTTTTGTTGTACCTTGCAGGATGAAGGTGAGAACTTTGAGATTGTGCATGTGATGGTTTTACTGCGTGGTGACACTGAATCTCTGTAGAACAAACAGTTTAGTGTAAACTTCACCAATAACACATAGTCAATAATATTATGTGTTAACACTGTGTTTACTGTATGTTGGCAAGATATGACAACAATGTGTTTACTGTGAAAACCTCACCAATTTCACATAGTCAACAGAGTAAACACACTGTGTTTTTTGTGGGGTGACAATATGTTTACTCTTTAGGGACACTGTGCTTAGTGACAATATGGAGATAGTTTGTGTATTGTGTGGTACACTTTGGGAACAGTGTGTTAACACTGTGTTAACACTGTGTTTACTGAATGTTAGCAATTTGTGACAACAATGTGTTTACTGTGTTTCACACTGAAAACCTCACCAATTTCACATAGTCCACAGAGTGAACACACTGTAAACACACTGTGTTTATTGTGTGGTGACACTATGAAAACACTATGTTCACGGTATGGGGACAGTGTGTTAATTGTGTGGCTACACTGTGGGGACTGTGTGTTTACTGTGTGGGAACCATGTGATTATTGTGTGGTGACACTATGTTTATGTTTGGTGTCACTATGGAAACACTATGTTTACTGTGTGCGGACAGTGTGTTAATTGTGTGGCTACACTATGGCGACATTGTGTTTATTGTGTGGTGACTGTGTGTAAACACTGTGTTTCACACAGTTCACATACACATCTAGATGTGCCAATTTCATATAGTCAATGAGTTATTCACACAGTGTACACACTGTAAACACACAGTGTACACACTGTGAACACACAGTGCACACACTGTGGTGCAGTATGTGTACACTATGTGAACACATAGTTTTTCACACTGTGTTCACTGTGTGGTATTTTCCAAAGGGAGGAATCAAAATTTTCCCGGGGGAGAACCCCCGGACCACCCTTTCTTTTTGGGATTTATCGATTCATGGAAAAAAGAATACGCATGCAACTACACATTTGTTTATGTATGTATACACACATAAAATAAAAAATGAGAAAAATTTACCTGACCTTTTTCAAGAGGGGAAAACCTTGAATTTTGAAGAACTTTAAAAGTCATTAAAAGACATTTCAGAAGTCAGGAAAGCTCATCTTCCGCCATCTAGAAATCAAAATTTTTCTGGAGGAACCCGGACCCCCTTTATCTTTGGAGTTCATTGATTAATTGAATCATTTTCAAGGGGAGGGGGGCCTTGAATTTTGAAGAATTTAAAAGTCATTAAAAGACACCACAGAAGTCGGAAAAGCTCATTTCCCGCCACCTAGGAATCAAAATTTTCCCGGGGAAGAACCACAGAACCTTCCCCCCCCCCCCACCATTTCTTTTTGGAATTTATCGATTCATGGAAAAACTACGTATGCAACTTACTCAATCTTTTTTTATGTATGTATACACACATAAGGCCTATTTACTGTATTAAAAAATTATCTGACCGTTTTCAAGAGTGGAAAATCTTGAATTTTGAAGAACTTAATTATTTTTAAGTTCTTCAAAATTCAAGGTGTTCCCCTCTTGAAAATTATTATAATGAATCAATGAACCCATGAGAGAAAGGGAGGTTCGAGTTCTTCTCGGGAAAATGTTGATGTTGGACAATGAGATTTCCCGACTTCTGAAGTATTTTTTAATGACTTTAATTTAAAAGACACCTCAGAAGTCGGGAAAATTCATTTCCCGCCTTCTAGGAATCAAACTTTCCCTGGGGAAGAACCCCCGGACCCCCCTTTCTTTTTGGGATTCATCGATTCATGGAAAATTCGTATGCAACTACTCATTTTTTTTTAAATTGTTATGTATGTATACACACATAAGCCCTGTAATAACAATGGGAAAAAAATTACCTGACCGTTTTCAAGATGGGAAAACCTTGAATTTTGAAGAACTTAAAAGTAATTAAAGACACGTCAGAAGTCGGGAAAGCTCATTTCCCGCCATCTAGAAATCGAAATTTTCCCGAGGGAGGAATGTTGACCCCACCACCTAGATTTGATTCCAGATCTACATGATTCATATTCCCATTCATCTTATAAGCAGTGGCGTAACAGGCGGGGGCAGGTGGGCAAACTGTCCTCCCTTACGGTTCTTACCTGGCTGGGTAAGAAGAGAAAAGAAAAGAGGGGAGAGGAAGGGAAAGAGAAAGAAAGGGAAAGAAAAAGAAAGGAAAAAAGAAAAGAAAAAGAGAAGAGAAAAATAAAGACAAGAATAAAAAGGAAGATATAATGAACAGATATCACAATACCCCGGCCTGCAACCCCTTCTCCACTTCAAAAAGTGTCCATAGCGCATTATTGATCTAAGCCGCCAGATATTCTCCGCAGTGGCGTAACCTCCGGGGGACAAGGGGAAAATATCCATCTGTGGAAAATCTTTCCCCATTGAATGCCTTTTCACCCAAGAAAGTGCCCGGGAAAGTGCCTGAAAACCTCAAATTTTAAATCGCATATTTTGTTGAGGTAGGCCAATTTCCTCTAAAAATTGCACATTTTAGGGAGTTTTGATCAATTCCGACGAAATTAGAATTAAAAAAAAACCAAAATTTTTCACGCCCTTCGCACGCATTTTTTAATGTTAAAGCTTGTTCTAGCTCTCCTTTGCCTTTTAAGTTATAACACATAGTCCCAAACTCAAGGAAGAAAATTTAAGATAGATCGTTTTACCTAAA